CCCTGGTTCCGCCCGGCCATTTGGACCGGCCCTGTCAGTCTGCCCTGCTAGTGTAACTGCTTGGGATGTGTCGTTTGTTCTACATGCAGGCCTGAGGCCGTGGTGAGGTTACACTGAAGGGGTCCACCTCATCCCGAGTGCTCTGGGGAACCTCAACCACCCAGAAGCCTATACAGTACACAGGAGAGGTGACCTCACTCTGGGAGTGGGCTTACTGGGGCTGCTCTCACCTCCCTCCCCCACCAAGGGTATGGTCTGGTCTCTTCTGGACATGGTAGTGTCCACCTTAAGCCTGGTGCCTGGTGAGCAGGGAGCAAGTCTGCAGTTACTGTCTGGTGTCCTCAGGCTGAACCTTAGAGCCAGGCCTGTGGACATTACTCAGGGCTGACTGGAGAGCTCCGTCTGTCATGTTGCTGTTGGCCATAATGGCGGCGGGCTCACATCGCTTGGAGAACTCAGAGTCCAGACAGATTCTACTACAGAGGGGCCGCCACCAAAACACAGGGGCCTTTTCCTGGCTCAGTCTCCCTGTTCTTTTCCTTAAACACACGAGCCCACTCCACGTATCTGGCCTTTGCGTAGCTGCCTCTTCTGCCAACATCTTTTCCCCTCATGCTCTGAAGGCCATCCTCTTTGTCCCATCCACACCACAGCTCACATGTCACCGCCCTCCATGAACACCCACTTGGAAGGCACTACCTGTCACCCTCCTACCTGCCACCCTCCTACCTGCCACCCTCCTACCTGTCACCCTCCTACCTGTCACCCTCCTACCTGCCACCCTCCTACCTGTCACCCTCCTACCTGTCACCCTCCTACCTGCCACCCTCCTACCTGTCACCCTCCTACCTGCCACCCTCCTACCTGTCACCCTCTGGCAGATTACTTTGCTTTAAATCTGTATAGACTAGCTTCTCCACCCTAATCATACAGGGACACACACACACACACACACACACACACACACACACACACACACAGAACATGTGCATACATGTGGTGTTCCAAGGCCTACAGTAACCACAGATAGTGTTGAACACTATGTGCTATTTGCCGCATACATGCATACATACATACATACATACATACATACAACGTACATAGCATAGAGATGCAGGACCAAAGGATGATTCACAGCCAGGACAGACCGTATTGCAACTGCACTCTACTCAGAACTGCATGCAATTGAAAAGCAAGGATTGTTTCTGTCTGTAATATGCCATTTAGTTTTTTTTTTGGACTATACAGTTGGTTGGAGTCACCGAAATCTCAAAAAACCAAGCAGCAGTGAGGGGGTATTATTGTGTATGGAACATCATTGTGGAAAGCTGTTTTGTGCTCTTGTCCATTTGGATGTATAAGCCCTGTATGCGCAACTCCCTTGTCATTCTCTGGTGAGACTCCATGCCTTGGCAGGTCAACGCATACAGCAACTGCACCAAGAGTGACAGGGTCACTCTTCAGCACAGTGTCATGTTAAAAGTCCTAGATCTGGATGCCAGTACTGGTTGGCAACAACACTATCACCACGGGTCCCTTCACCATGACTCCACCACAATTACTGCTAATATCACCGTCATCATCACCACCCTGACCGCCCCGACCACCACCTCGTATGCCTGCCACAGTGTCATGAATGGATTGGCGTGTTCAGGGCTGGGTGATTGGAGTTGGATGGGCTCTGGTCTTGCTGCTCAGAAAACACAGCCTGATTTCCTGGGCAGGTCGCCGTGCTTGAGAAAGGTGTGAGAAAGGCGTCCCCGACACAGCAGCAGACCCTGGAGGTAAAGGCGTCAGGAAAGCGGTGATTTTCTTTGGGAGAATGAGCCCCATGTGCATCACTCGTGGTTCTGCAGATGTGATGCTTGTTGCCATGGTGACTGTCCTAACAATAACCTTCCAGAACTGATATTCCCCACCACCACCCCAGCTGCCACCTGGGAGGGAGAACCCTCCTTGCTTACAGAAGTGAGCCCAAAAGGGCACTGAGGGAGGTGGAGACATGGAGGTGGGGGAGGGGTGGGTGGGGAAGAGGTTGGATGAGGGAGGAGTCTGCACCTCTGATCTAGAGCTGAAGCCAGATGAGAAGGCTCCTGGGGTCCAAGAGCAGAAAAAGTCACAGTTGGAAGCCTTTCTCCCTCCCAGCCTTTTCATTTTGCTAGGGAGGAGTCCTCTGGGCCGGAAGGCAGAGTGTGGGCTGTGCTATCTGGGCGAGGGTAGTCTACAAGCCTCAGGCAGCTAGCCAGCTCACCTCTTCCCCGCGTCTGATGCCGGGTCATCTGCCCTTCCTACCCCATCAGCTGGCGAGTGTTGCCTCTAATGCTTCAGGCCAGAGGAGAGGAATGCCCAGGGGCTGGCGGGATTAGAATAGGGGGAGAGACTGAGGACACAGTGGGCTTGGAATTGCATTCTTCAGTGACTGCAACTTTTTGTGTAACACAGCCTGTCCACTTTCAAAAGGTGACCTAACTAACAAAAGAGCACCCAGAGTGCCGCTGTGTCCTTGCCTGGTGTGTACACGTGTGTAGTTTTATTATATCTGCAGTCTATGTATGCATGCTTATGTGCATGTTTTTGTATATGCATATCTGTGTATATATATGTGTGTGCATTTTTTTTTTCGAGACAGGGTTTCTCTGTGTAGCCCAGACTGTCCTCAAGCTCAGTGATCCGCCTGCCTCTGCCACCCAACTGCTGGAATTAAAGGCGTGCACCACACGGCTGTGTGCGTATATTAGTATATATGTTTGTGTGGAAATAAAAGGCGAGGAAGGCTTTATGGACAATTTCAGCGACTCTTCTTTTTTTGACAAGTTTACTTTTGTTTTATGGATGTGTGTATATGTATGTGTAGGCCAGAAGTCAATGCCTACCTTCCTTGGTCACGTTCTACCTTTTCCTTTTTAAACTGAGTTTCTCACTGAACCTGGGGCTTGCCAATTTAGCTTATCTGCTCAGTAAGCCCCGGTGTCTTCCAATCTCTATCTCCAGTGCTGGGATTATAGGTTCCACTTTTTCACACAGGTTCTGGGGTTGGAACTTGGAATCCCATGCTTGCATAGCAAGCCCTTTTCCAACTGAGCCTTCTCCCCAGCTCCCACACTCCCTGGACAACTTGCCTGACTGGCAAATTACTGCTGTCTCTGTGCTGTCCCGTCTCGGAAAACGGGGGTGGGGAGGTGGGGGGTGGGGTAACAGCACATCCTCCAGGACTGAGAATTGAACAGTGAAATGTGGGTAGTATTCATGCAAGCACAGTCACACAGTCGAGATCAACTACCGTTAAGATTCAGACACCACATCGTGGTCTTCCGGACCGCTGGAGGGAGGGTGTGTGACGCGGTAGCCCAAAGACAGCCTAACTCATGGAGGGGTGCAGTTTTGCTTTGTTTGTTTTGCTAATTGTGCTCTGTTGTGCAGCCTGCCTCCTTCTCCTTCCAGAGTTCAGAAAAAGCAGCAGCTGTTCTTAGCAGGTGCTGTGGGAGCAAGCATCAGCCTGACCTTCACCCTCCCCACCCTTCCCCACGCCTGGTGCATGGCCCGGACCTCCATGCCTAAGCTCATACTTTTTGGCACAATGGGGTTTCTCTTCCTGCTTGGGTTCTGCTGATGTCAAGACGAGGATTCCTGTTTTCTCAGCTGGGTACTCCTGACGGGGACCTGCACTTGTCCACACATGTCTCTTGTTCTCTAACTGTCTGCCTTCTAGTGGAGGCTAGGTCTGGACACCCACGGGGAGGAACTCTCCAGGAGGTCTGTTTTCACCTGGCAGCACTCTGTCAAATCTGCCTTTTGGGAAGACCCCAGCTGCCCGGCATCTAAGACACTTGCTAGGATGCCCTGGGCTAGTCTTTGGTTGAGATCCCAGGCTACCAAAACTGTTGTTGGTGGATTAGTAAGTGGAAAGAATTGAGACAATCACCTACCAACGCCATCCAAACTGGCTGCAATGTCTCCTCCCCAAACACAAGGAAGAGTCTAGTTGGGGATGCTGGCCAAGTGGAGCTTTGTGAGAATCTGCCTATACCCTCCTTCCTTCAGAATCTCTTTCAAGAGAGACTGGGAAGAGAGAAAGAATAGCCGCTTCTCTTTCTGGTCAGAGCAGAGGCAAGGGCTGGACCAGACTATCTGGGCAACAGGACTCTGTGACAGAGCAGAGCAGCCCCTGTTTTACTGGCTCCAAAGCCCAATCTGGACTCCAAATGTTCACCCCAGGACAGAAGACACCTTAGTCACCAATCCCAGGAGAAGCAGGGAAGAGGCTTGGGACCACTGCAGGCAAGCTCCATCCTCTCCCCCTCATCCCATTCTGCCTAGGAGACTCATGGGCAGCTCTGCCAGGCCAGGCAGGAAGGGTCTGGCAGCATCTTGTGGGGGGTACAGGGAATGGAGAAGCCCAGTGGAGGGCAATACACGACCCTACCCAAGTGGGGTGCAGTTCCCTCTTGCTGTTTATGGGAAGTGGGCCGTGGGGGGAGAAGAGTCTGGGTTCGCTGTTCAACTGCATAAGCCTAAGAGCCGGTCCAGTGGCTTGTCCGTGCAGGGCTCGAGCCTAGAGGGGCAGACGCAGTGCCTGGGCACCCGGTGGTGCAGCCCATGTGCTGGGACAGTGCGCGGGCACGGGTGGGATTGCATGGTGCGGGCGCAGTGCGGGTGCAGGCGAGGGCGCGACGTGTGTGCGAACGGAGCCGCGGTGCTGGTGCAGGGTGCGGGCGCAGTGCGCGTGCCGGCGCGGGCGCTAGTGCAGGTACAAGGCGCGGGTGCGGTGCGTGTGCGGGTGCAGGCGTGTATAGGGTGCGGGTGAGGCGCGTGCAAGGGGCGGCGGGCGGGGCGGGCGCGGCGGCGACAGCGGCGCCCGCGCCTCTGCGCGCGTAGGTGTGCGGCGCGCTCCTGGCGGGGACAGAGCGAGCAGATCTCGCGTGCGCTCGCCGCCCGGCGCAGCCCAGCCCGGCCCCCGCCCGGCGCCGCGAGCCGAGGTGTCTCCCGCGCCCGCGCCCGTGTCGCCGCCGTGCCCGCGAGCGGGAGTCGGAGTCGCCGCCGCCCGAGCGCAGCCGAGCGCACGCCGAGCCGGATCGCCGCCGCCATGGCCACCACGGTGACCTGCACCCGTTTCACCGACGAGTACCAGCTATACGAGGATATTGGCAAGTAAGAGCCTCGGCGCGCACCGGCTGTCCGCAGACCCCTGGGAGCGGGGACCCCATCGCCGCCGGCCCCGCGCGCACTGCGGCCCCGCGCGCCCCCGGCTCCCTCGGGCTGCGGGCCCAAGCACACTGCCCTGTGCTGCCCGGACCCCCGAGCCTTGGGTTCTGGGCCCCCGCTGCCCCACCGCAGCGCGTACGGCTCTGCCCCATGCCATAGCTTGGCGGGGACCGAGACACGGGGATCTGGACTCGGCGTGGCGGGGGCGGCAGCAGGTGTCCCCCGAGCGCCGGGCAGACGTGACGCATTTGGCGGCGGGGAGGTCAGAGACAAACGGCACGCGGGGGCGGCTGCCAGGCCTAGAGTGCCCGAGGGGTCGGCCATGGCCTCAGGGGGTCGTCCCGGGTGTGGGCGAGTTGTCCTCACCCCCACCCGAGCTGCAGGCGGCAGCGGTGGCGGACCCGCTCCGCGCCTGCTCCTCGCGTGGCCCCATCTGCTCTGGGGGAGCAGCGTGGGAGCAGCTTCTGCCTTGGGTCCCTTGGGGAATCTGGGTTCTGGAGGATTTTTTTCCCCCAGATTCTTCTGGAAACAAGAATTTGGAGCGGGTGGACGAGGTCAGGAAGCCAAGATCAGGCCATGGGCTGGGGGTGAGCTAGTGAAGCCGGGAACCGGTTGGGCCTCTGATTTCAGGGTCATCGAGGCAGACAGAGGTTGGCTTCTGAACCGTTTCATTTCAATTATTTTATTTTCTCCTGTGATGGCAGGGCTGGGGAAGGGACTCTGAAGGCGTATTTCGGGTAGGGCCTCGTGGGGAACAGGTGCCCTGGCGCCAAGACGCTGCCCCGCAGCGTGAGCAACATGGGGCTGAAGCGTCCAGATCTGCCTTTGCCCCTGGGGTCGCCGGAACGCCAAAGCCCCCCAGGGGCCCCGTGTGAGGCCTGGAACCTCCCCCTGTGATTTAAGGTGACTGCAGGGGCGACTGCATAACTCCAGAGCTGGGTCCTCCTTCCCACTCCCTCTCCCCTCCCCCATCCTTCCTGCGCCGTGGGGGCGCTGGCGAGATTTCCTCTTACACATCCAGCCGCAAATCCTTTTTTTTCCCTTTACTAAAAAAGCGTCGGAAAGCTGTGGTGGGCGAGGGACGCTGATCATTGATAATTGTGGAGTGCCCAGCTGGAGGAGTGTGGGGGTGTGTGCATTCCCCACTTCTAATGCACATGCCCAGAGGATTTGGGTCAGGCCTGGGGGGGGGGAGGAGCCAAGTGGAGTGGCCGGAGGAAGCCTATTGCAAGGACCTAGGCTGGGTGGGCCTGAATGGCCATCCCAGCACCCCTCCTTCAGTCCCTGCCATGCTTGGAGTCATTGGAGAAGCTTCCAGTAGCCGGTGGGGACTGCGCTCTGAGAGGAAGAGGTGGTGGGCTGGGAGCCCTCCGGCGGGGTGCGGCAGCCTCGAGGTTGGGGGACAGCCCCGCAGGCCTTTCTGATGCTTTGGAGAGGGCCCTTCCCAGCTAGCGGCCCATCTCCGCCACAGCTGCATCGTGTGCCGCCAGGGCAGGTGGCAGCAGTGGAAACAGAGCAGTGGGAAGACTCTCCTTCCTAGGGAACCTTCTTGTCACCTTCTCCAGTGCGCCCAGGAGCCTGTATCCCTCCCTGGGCCTCTTGGTATCTTCCGAGCAGTCCCTGTCAAGAGACCATAACCTCCAGGTCACCTGGCTGGTCTGCTTTTGCACGTTGGTGCAAGCTGTCCCGCCTGCGCTGAACAGCATCATAAGGTGGCCTCTGCCTCCCCCACTCGGGAGTTGAAGCTGGAGGGTGACATTTGCAGTAGACACAGGTGAGGGCTGAGACTGCCAACTCCTCCCCAGGTACAAAAGAATGAGCGCCTCACCCAAGTGCAGGGACACCACAGGGTGCCAGGGTGAGGCCCCAAGCTTGGCGTGGAGGGGCCAGCTAGTCAGGAGTGGTCAGCTCGGCCCAGCATACCTTGGTGGAGGCTGCTGGGTGCCAGGCCCCAGGGATGGGTAAGGAGAGTGATGAAGGAGAAGGTACCCTCAGGATAAACAGTGAGGCCAGCCCCCTCCTGCCCCCAGTAGCCATGTTGGCTAGTTGTTGATGGCCTGCCTGGGGCACAGTTGCTGCTCTTCACAGCCCCAGGTAGACACATCCAAGTTTATTTAAAGCTGCATCTCCTGGCTTCCAGTCAGGAGATGCTGAGTCCCCTGCTTGGCCAAAGGGTTGGTCCCAGGCCCACAGCTGCTCTTGGCTGTCTGGTGGCAGCTCTGGGCTTTCCCTCCCTCCCTGGCTCTCTTGGATCCAGATCTCTCCTTCCTCAGGCCTGGGCAGCAGGTGGGCTGGCAGAGGGGAGTGGCTGTCTGGGGCCCAGTGTGTGTCTTTCTTTGCAGCTAGTTCTTGACTGGTGGTTTATATGCTGGGGTGTAGACACCGTGAACCCAGGGTCCCAGGGCAGGCCCCGTGCGAAGTGGGGAAGCCTTTAGTTCCCATGGAGTGGCCTTAGGGTACTTTATATTATTTTCTTATTGGATGGGTTTTAAAAAATTCAGAAGCCCTAGAAATGATAAACATTGGTGTCTCTTTTACCCAGAACTGAAAATTGTTCATCATTTTGTCTTAAAGTCCTGTGTTACAATTATAGCAAGTAGTGTATTGCAAATGAATATGAAACGGCCCGTTCTCTTCTGTCTTGGCTCAAGCACTCCCATTCTTTGCTGCATTCATACGGATACTAGGATCCCTGTCAACATATTATCAACATATGATCCTTCCCAGTTTTCCTATAACTTCACATAAAAGTCCAGAACTTGTTTTCTCAGTCGGGATTGTCTTGCTAACGTGTGTGGTGCCGACCGGCTGTGGCCGTGGCCGTGGCCACCACGTGGTGATCGTGATAGGAGCGCCATGCGTCATCTGCTCTGCTCCTCACAGAAATCAAGGCTGTCACATGACCTCGCTGTGCACATGGCTGCTGGTGCAAGGGATGAGAGTTACTTTGGCGTTTGTCCCCGGCGGTAGGGTTCCTGGTGAGGCTTTATCAAGCCTGGCCATGCCCACCTCCACTGGCTATGCGCCTGATGCACCAACTCTGGCTTTGGCAGAAAGGAAACGATGACAGGTAGAAAGTGATCGCAGGTTCTGGATTAATGCATGTGAATTTTTCTATTTTTAGAGGGTGGCTGTCTTATTAAAACATAGGTGGTCTCCCTGGAGTAAAATCACTTCCATAAGTTTTGGATAGAATTCAGGGGTTCATGGACACTCCTATTTTGGGGGAGAGAGCATGGGAGTCTCAGCCTATCGCTTAGTTCCTATTTAATGGTATTTTTTGTAGCAGCATCTATGGTTACTCACTACCTTGCCAAGCCTGGGCTGTGGAGACCCTTGACCTTCAGCCCAGAGAACTCCCACCGTTCTTGGCCTCATTCCCATAGACCCAGAACTGACCTTAATGTGCCCTTGACTCCCCCTCCTGCCCCCAGTCAGCATCCCGAGCAGGCTGGGGTGTGTGTGCACTGTCTGATTCTTCTGACCTGCTCCACACAGCTGGGAGGCCTGCTGGGTACCTAATAAACTTAGGACATCCAGGACAGCTCGGCACTGGATGCTACCTTGTTCTGGGATTGGTTACAGGGGGATCTTGTGTTTGCTCTCTCCCTCCTGCCCTGGGAGGCGGGGCCTCTGCTAGGGCTGCCCCCATCCGCTGTCCCCATCGCTCCACCCACACTGCTGTCTGTGTTGTGTGAACTCTGGGCCTGGACCGCACTCACGTGAAAGCAGGCGCTGGCACTCCTGCCTGGGGGCCGAGTCCTGGGTTTGACCAGAGTGGGTTTGGTGTCATCTGAGGGGAAGGGGTAATTGAACCTCTGGCCTTTGCCTGATGGCCTGCTCTCCAGCAGGAGCCCCAGTCTTGATTCTCTAATATAGGGTAATTTAAAAAGAAATCGCACATGCTGGCTTTGCTGGCAAGATGCGCATTAAGGTGACGCTAGTTTAGTTACTATTTAATGGTATTTTTATACCATAACCTACTTTGCTGGGAGCTAAGAATACATCTGCATGCCTGCTGCCGGACTCTGTTCTTGTGACAGTTGCTCGCGCTTCACTGGTGCTTATTATATTAACATGCTGGATCTGTGGGACAGGCACCGTGGTCATTCCTAGTTTACAGGGAGATATTGAGGGGCACAGAGAAGTCCGTCTCTTTGTGGAGGTCAGGGTTCCCATCAAGGGGTTTGCTCTCAAACCCACTTCTGCTGGCCAGAGCTGACGAAGTCACTTTCTGTGTTTCCGAAATGTTGTCACTCACCTGGCAGACCCTTGACTGGCTTGTGGTCACCACAGACTCCCAAGGACCATGCCTGTCTTCCAGCCAGTGACTTGTCACGATATCTTTGTGCATTTCCAAGCCCAGGGCTCTGTCCACATTCCCTTTGTGAAAATGTCACTTCTTTTTATCACCTCTCCCTGACAGCCAAAACTCTGACCCCATTTGAGACAAGCAGGACTTAGAATTTTATCTTATTCATTAAACAAACTAGGGTAATATAGTCTTGTTATGAAAAAAATCAAGTAAGGCAAAAATATACGCAGTAAAATGTGATCCTTTGTTTTATCCCCCCCAAAAAAACCCCAGGACTGTCAGCGTAAGGGTGTGTGTGTATGCACTGCTGTAGTCCATGCACATCTCTATCATGTGTGTGATTAGGAAACAGGCGGGTTCCCCATGTATGTGGCTGTCTGATTTGTTTACCCTGGCATGTCTCCATAGCAACCCCTCATGTCAGAAAGTCAGCCCTCTGTCCCAGTGTTCATGTGTGTACAGGAAGATATGAAGGCCAGAAGTGAGGTGTCTTCCTCAGTCATTCTCCACCCTACTTTCTGACAGTCTCTCTCTGGGACCAGACTATTGGGCCAGAAAGCCTCAGGGACCCTCCTGTCTCCCCTCCCCCAGCACTGGGATTAAGGTGCATATAACCAAACCCAACTTTCCC